GGGGGGGATGGGGGGATAAGGACACATATGTAATACCTTAATCAATAAAGAAAAAAAATCACTATAAGACCAACTAAACACCACCAGTTAAAAAACAGATTGTCCAAATTGACTTTTGAAAATCCAGCAATTCTATGCACAGGTGTTTAACCAAGAGAAATGAAAATATCTGTCTACAAAAAACTAATGTCCACAGAAGCTTTATTCATAATTTAGTCAAAACCTTGAAACAACTCAAATAGTACTCGCTAGAGGTGCACAGATAAACAAATGGTGGTAAAACCATAGAACAGAAAGAAACAAACTACTGATAAGCCTAAAAACATGGATGAATCTCAAAAATATTTTAGTGAGGAAAAATAACAGACATACAAATGCATACTGGGTGATTCGTTTTTATATAGTCTATAGAAAAAGCACAGTAATGTATACTGTCAACAAGCAAATCAGAAAATGACTAGAAGTGGGGCACAAGGGAACTCCAGGATAATGAAAATGTTCTATGTCTTGATTGTAGTCACAGTCACACAGTTATACACATATACCAACATTCATTGAGATGTATATTTTAAATAGGGGTATCTGGTTGTATGTAAATAAAACTTCAAAAAGTTGATTTTTTAAAACTGATCCAGCCAAATACTTGTTTATCAGAAACACGACTAAAATATAAAGACACATAAAGGATGACGTTGCATAAAGGAAGGGAAAAGATCTGGCAATTGTTAGTAACAAAAAAGAGAGTTATATTACAATCAGAAAACACACATTTTAAGGCAACAAACATTATTATGGGTAAAGAGGACTACTAAATAAGGACTACAAAATAATGATAAAACGAACAGTAACAAAGAATAGATTTTATGGCTGTTTTAATATCTGACCATTAAAAATGTACTCTTTTCAGGACATATAGTAGATTTTAAAACCTGACTATATACTAAGCAGACAGCACTCCTCAATAAATTTTAAATAATTTGTATTAGAAATCATGTATAAACCATGTAACAATACCACTTGGTTGAAAGTTAATGACAAAAAATATAACCCCAAAATCTAACTTATGTGCAATTTTTAAAATAAATATTTCTTTGATCCATGAGTTAGAAAGAAGTCATAATGTAAATCAAAAAATATTCACAATTGAATAATTAACTAATCAAAATCCATGGAATGTAGCTAAAGAATACTTAGAGGGAAATTTACAATTACAGACTTATAGAAGATTAAATATTAATGAGTTAATGGTCCAATTTAAGTTAGAAAAAGAACAGAGAAACAAAAACAATAGTTAGTAGATTACTGAACAAAAAAATAAAAGTATAATGAAGAGAATATACAAAGCTAAAATCAAGTTATTCAAAAAAACTAAAAAACTTGACAAGCCCCTGATAAAATTGGTCAAGAAAAACAAACATATGCACTAATATATAATATTAGGAATGGAAAAGGGATTGATTACAGGAACATCAAAGCTTTAGGTACATTTGAGTGTTGTGTTGGGCAGAAATTGATTATTACAGATCATTACATATTTGGCCACCATGGCCATTAATTTTAACTTACCGCCAACAGAAGATGCATTTATTTGCACATGCTAAGCTCGGGGTGGTTTCCATGCAACGATGGCTTTCGATACCATAGAATGTATGTTTATAGCAACCTCCTCTCCCTCGGAGCATTGACTGTGAATAAAAAACAAATGATAATTTAAATAAAATCCTCAAAGCACAGAAACACCAAGACATCATTTTAAAGAAACCATGTGTTTTATAACCATAAGTAGCCCTAATAGCATGTGCACGATGGAGAAAATTAACACTATAGCATTATAGTGTTCTGATAATGATTTGCATTTTCTAAAACCCAATGAAATAAACCTAAGATTCATTAACTCTGAAAGCTCTATAGGAAGGATCATTTATGCTTTTATTTTTCAAATCCGTCCAACTGTCTCAAATAATATCAGTTCAAAAATACTTAATGCAAAGGGATAGATAACACAGTCTCCAGAAAATGCAGAAGCCGGTCATATGAAAGAGTATCTCTGTTTTGAATAAAGGAGGGTGGGTAAGGGAATCCATCCTGGAGCATAATCCATGTCAACTGAACAGTAGAATTTGAACATATTGGGACAGTTGAGGAGACAAGCCACATGTATAACAAGTAGGTTATTTTAAAAAACAACACTGATTAATACGTGAGAGGTAAAACCACAGCAGTAAGGATGGGTAATTTGAAGAAATACTGCAGATTAATTAGGGTTGGAGTCACAAGATAGCAAGCTTTAAAAGGTACATAAGAAAGATTTGTCCAAAAGCTCTGAGTAACATTGACATGATTTCAGTAAAAGGGAAAGTTATGAGGAGTTTACGCAAGAGAAGTCATAATGACAGCCCATAATATCAATAGAGGAGAGGAATATGGTACTAAAGAGGTACAACCACTGGCATTCCCGATCAGAGGGGCAAAACAGAGAAAGTCACCTAAGATAAACGAGAGTTTAAGCCTAAGTTAATGAAGTATGATGGTATTAACAACAGCAATAACAAACAAGGAGACACAGTTAGGTAGTCTTTATACATATGTATGTGTATACACATTACACATCACATGTCAAGTGTACTAATATTATAATGCTGTCCACAATGAAGAAAATTATACATAAAATCTACCAGCTTTATTACTACTAGTATGTCAGTTGATTAGAAAGTCTTTTATTTTTTTGTACTGATAAAAGGACTTCCCCCTCCATCGCAGTACAGTTGACTCTTGAACAAAATAGGTTTGAAATGTGCAGGTTCACTTAGATGAGAATTTTTTTTTCAATAAATATTGCATAGGTGCTTTCTCTTCCTTATAATTTTATTAATAACTTTTGATTTTCTCTAGCTTATTTTATGGTGAGAATACAGTACATAATACACATAACACACAATATATGTGTTAGTCGACTATTTGTGTTATTGGTAAGGCTTCCAGTAAACAACAGGCTATTAGTAGTTTAAGTTTTGAGGGAGTCGAAAGTTACACGCAGGTTTTTGACTGTCAGGGTCAGGAAACAACCTCCGCGTTGTTCAAGGGTCAAATGTACTTGCATTAAGAGCAAAAAAAGGCATGAAGGAAGAAAAATATTGTTCAGGATAATGGTGGTTACAAACTCTTCAAAATTTCCAACAAAATATTCAAGAAGGCAAAGAAAACATTCAAATCTTGTAAATAGCATTGAAAACTAAAAGTCCACCAAATGCCAAACACAGAGTAATTCCCACTAGCATGCCAATGGAGAAACAGTTGAAGACGTGCATATTTTCATTATTTACTGAGTAGTTAATATACCCAAGCATGCTGTGCACATGATGAATAACAAAGCCTCCAGTCGCCATGGTATCCCTCAGTGAAAGTAGTGAAGCCTCAGGCCCAGGAAAGTAGAGCATTTCTCCAGTCAGCTCACTTGTTACAGGGATAGGGTGGTGGGGAGGGATCTCTATCATTTTGTTTTCACTTGGCTACCCTGATATCTTTTGGCAGGAGAGGGAGACTGCATAGCTAGCAGGAAAGGAGAGTACTTGTCCAACTGCTTATTGTTAACGGGGCTCCCAATCAAACCCCTTTCCCAGTGGTACTGGTCTCCCCTGATCTTGTCACAGAGATTCCCATTCTATACTGGGGAAGAATGAGCCTCCCTGGTGGCCAACTGTTGCAAGATCAAGGATCAAGACACTTGGGGTCAGAACTGCCTTCTTTAGGTGGGAGAAAGACATCTCGCTGCTCTGTTGTCCCTCGGTCCTGGGTCCTCTTACCGCCTTTCAGAGGTCTTGTTTGGTTCCCTTTTGTGTTTTCCATGGTTTAGAATTGTGCATCTTAGGAAGGCGCAGAGAGAAAAGAGTTTATGCCATCTTGTCCAAACCAGAAGTCCTCAGACATTACATTTTCAAAGGAAGTACTCCCACATCTGAAAATTAATGGAGGATCAAGGTGGAAAAGAGAAGACTGGAGAGCAGCACATGCTTAGAATTCATGTTAAGAATCGAGAATAGCCTCAGATTCGATAATCCATGAATTCTTATCCTGGAGGTAAATAAGAGCCTGGACAAATACAACTGCAGCCCAGCAGAGCCACAATGAATGAAGTCAAGACACCACTAGGCAGGCTCTGTGCACATCAATTAGAAACAGAGGTACAGGGAGAAGAAGGGACGCATACAATGCTCGATGGGTCTCTCTGAATGTCTTGAGAGAAGAGGCACTGACTGTCTTTATTCTAGACTCTCTCTTCAAAAGGGTTTGTATAGTAAATAGCCTTGGAAGATAGCATCTCCTTCTAGAGCAAAATGATAGCTTTGCTTGCTGTCCAATATAATAAAGACATGTCTCTCAAAGGAAAAGTCCTAGCCGAATTATTCCCAATTATAAAAGATTCATAATCCCTAAGTGTGGGGGTCCACTCCTATAACATATGTACAGATGTTATCTGGTCCCCACAGTGCTGCTTTATTAGAACTAGGGCTCAAGAACCAGAGAAAATGATGATGTTCTGGCTACTGCTATTATTATGAGTAACAAACTGTCCGTATCCTCTGCCACTATCCATGAAACTGTGGCAGGCTAACTCGTTAGCTTTCAAGTATAGTAAAATTTCAAGCTCTTCAATTTTTGACAGGGATGAAGAGCTCAGTGCAGAGGTCGATAGACTCCATACAGCCTATGCATCAAATCCAGTCCACTGTCTGTTACTGTAAATAAAGCTTCTTGAGATAGTGTCACTGCATTTATTTATTTATTTATTGTCTATGGCTGCTTTTGTGCTACAATGGCAGAGCTGAGAAACTGCAACTCAGTACAGAAACATATGACCCACAAACTTAAAAGAGTCACCATCTGGCCCTTTAGGAAAAAGTTTGCTCACCCTTGACTTAGCTACTTTTTTCATACTGTAGTGCAAAATAAATTCCAAACTGTGTAAACACACACATACACATGATTTGGGGAAGATGGAGGAGCAAGAAGCACCAGGAATCTGTTCTCCACCTAGGCAACTACACTGGTGGAAACTCTGGGGTCTGTTGAAGGCTTGCAACTTTCAGGGAAAGGCCTACCAGGGGTGGGCAAACTTTTTGACTCAAGGGCCACAATGGGTTCTTAAACTGGACTCAGAAGAAGGAGCTGCGGCCGTGTTTCCCGACGTTGCCATGTTAACACTGCTGCTGGTGAAGGAGCAGAGGGGAGAGCAAGAGAACCCTCCGCTCTTTCGGCTCCGCGGGCCGGATAGAACAGCCGAACGGGCCGGATCTGGCCCGTGGGCTATAGTTTGCCCACAGCTGCCCTAGATGGTTAATATCTGTCAAGGATAGCTCTTAGCACAGTAGGAGCTACCCATACACCACCACCAGACACAAGGCAGGCAGCTGTGCACTTCTTCCTGGAACAGCTTGCACACAGCTTGTGGGAGCTAAGGTAGGTAAAAATGACCCTGTCCTCCAATATTGGGGATCTGCACTCTGATTTCTGATTGCTGCTTCTAATCACAGAGGTGCAGACAAAGAAGTGGGCAGATGTTGTTGCACCTCCTCCCATTTTTGCAAGCCCTCCCTCTCCATCTGCCGTAACTTCCAGGAGATTTAAAGGGACACTCCCTCTTCTTAATTGCCCTTCATTCGTTGTTTTCTCCTTTCAGGAGCTTCACATTAAAGACTAGAACATTCTGCCCTAGCAGGTTTGACTCAGTGAATGGAGCGTTGGCCTGCAGAATGAAGGGTCCCGGGTTCAATTCCGGTCAAGGGCACATGCCTAGGTTGCGGGCTTGATCCCCAGTAGGGGGCATGCAGGAGGCAATCAATTGATGGTTCTCTCTCATCATTGATGCTTCTGTCCCTCTCCCTTCCTCTCTGAGCTGGATAAAAATATTTTTTTTAAAAAAAAGACTAGGACATTCAAAAACAACTGCATATTTGGGGAAAAATTAAAAGTGACTGTACATGCCTAAGGAAAGGCTCAGAATAAAACATAAGATGACATTAGGTTTACAATTCAGCCTGATCCTCAGTACAGAAACAGCCTACAGAAATAAACAAAAAAATAAAAACACAAA